TGTTCTTTTATTTCCACATTTCCAACATTTTGGAATGATTTACATTAATTAATAAAGTAGACTTTTACTGTATTTCATTCAGTTATGAAAAATTTAAGTTATCTTAAAGGGACTGCACTGAACTTTTTTGACATGACGGAACTGGAAATATATTTTGGAGATTAATGTTCCATTTGATTTAGATGTATGTAGACTGTTAACTTGCTTGTGAAATTTCATGTCATTCACTCTTTTTGTTTTTCCAGAATAATTATTCTAATTGTGAAAAATGACCCAAAATTGAAAAGTGCTCAAATCTGGCTAGAAATAGCACAAAATAGGATTTTCAATTGATCTTTTTAGTATATTTCTTCGTTATCTTTTGCATATTTTTCTCTTTTAATAAGTGCCCAAGTTGATCTATGTTAGATATTATTAGTATTTATTTTTAGTATTTTGGACCACAATGGAGTTCCTTCAAATGACAAAGTATAATGACTGCCTGATTTTGGCTGGCTTATACATGTAAATGACTATTGGGAGCATAAAAGTTGTTGTTTGCATGTCCATCCTTCCTTACATTCTTGTTATGCTTTATAACTCTGCTATTTCTCATTCATTTACCAGTGAGTGAGTGTCACTGGGATGTTGTAGGTATTTGATGTGTTGGTTCCTGTGGACCTCAACCATTGTGAAATGTTTTATGTAAATGGGGAAAGGTTATCATAGTCTCCACTGACTCACTCAGAGGCAGATACAAGCATATTTTTTTTTCTTTACTTTCCCTTATACATTTAGTATAAACTTATAAACTTCTATAACTTATAAGACCATAATGCGGCCCAACCATTGTTATAGCTTTGTTAAAGCAGCATTGCAGACTATCTATATATTGCCATGATATATAAGGTATATATTCTTGTTTAAATTTTAAGTGAGCAGAACTTTATTATTTTAAGTGTATTATGTTAGAGAAGTGTTGAGGGAAGAAGCCAGGAAACAGAGATATGGTAGAGAGACTAAGAGGAGGTATAATGATGATGATGTATCAATAAAGTATGATGAGTAGAAACAAATGGTATCATTAATCATGCCGGAGAATGAAAATGATCATTTCATTTTAACGATGAAAACTGTCAGTATTGTACTTATGTATAGGCGCTTACTTGTCCAATTTTCAATTACAGAACAAAAAAGATAGACTAGGATATTCCTTGTAGAATTCTGCTGGCTTGCTACTTGTTGGCAACTAAAATGTTGTTGTTATTGTTGTTTTTCTCTTATAGCAAAGTGTCCAGCAGTTGTTTCTTGGCATTCATCATTAGTCATAGTTTTACCGGAGCAAATTCCAAAAGGGATTCTGATATATTTTGCTGGCATTTTCATAATAATTTAGTCTGTATGAATATTAATAATATTGATATTATTGTAAAATTTGATATTTAAAATGCTTGTATTGTTATACATTGAACTGGTGGGGAGGTGGTGATGGCGTGACAAGTGTGTGTGTGTTTAGCATGTGTGTTTTGAGTGGGGAGTTGGGGAGGGAGTCAGGTCCATGGGTAGTTTTTTGGGGGCTTGAGAAAATTAAAGCTGGTTCTGCCATTTGTTAACAAAAGATCTAACAACACGGTTAATCAAAGATTAATTAAATCTGTAAAATCTGTCTTTTGATGTCTTCAAAATATAAATAAATCAGTTTTAATTGAATTCAAGAAATTCAGGTTAAAAAAAAAACACACAAACACAATATCTTTGAGCTAGACTAGAAGTTCATAACATTGACTCCTTTCTTGATATCTCCAATGGCTTCATATTCAAGATGGTAACTTTTTTCAGATTTCTATCTGAGAAATATTCTATTGGAAATGGATACATTTTCTCCTTTGGGGAATGTGTAATAAAGGCAAATATTGAAATCAAAGAAGGTTGCTTGCTGATTCAGATAATTGAGATCTTAACAACTTTATTCTTGCTGTACTGTAAACATGGTAAATTGAGTTTGATGCAAGAGTTATGCAAAAAAATTTGTATGAAGGAAAAAAAAAAAGAACAAAAAAGTATTAAAGGTGTGTAATGTTACATTGACGCCACTGCAGATGCTATTGTGCTAGTTGGAAAAGCTGAATGAACTTGGTTTGAACATATTAACCCTTTCACTGCCATAAAAATTTTCGGTGTATTTGCCATATGGACGGCTTTTGCTGTTCCTAATAATAATAATAATAAATAATAATAATAATTAATATAAATAATTATACCATCGACAATAATTATTATTATACTAGCAGATTTGGAAACATATATACTTATTAAAATACTAATAACAAATAATAATAATTATTTTAATTAATTATATAGTAATTTCTTAGAAAACCTTCTGGCAAATAGGTGATCAGTATATAAATAACCCTCTGGCAGCGAAAGGGTTAATAATCAGCTTGATTATGATAAAAACATGGAACATATCTGATATTACCTTCAATGACATTGTTTTTAATTAAGACACATGGACCCAAGGACTTTGGTTCCTGACGTTGAGATCAGACATCTTTACTGCAAAGACAAGGCTTCTGTATAATATAACATTAACTGTTTGATAAAACACATTGTGAAAATAACAAAATTATAAAGGTTAGGCCAAGGTTATCAATCCAAGGTTGTCAGGCCATTAAAAAGATTGTCAGGCGGAGATTTTCAAGCCATTACCTTTGCAGCCAGTTGAATAATACAATTTGATGCACAATTTTATTTTCATCCTATGATACCCCTTATCCTGCTGAATTTGTGTAATGGATGTGCCCAGTCTTTCATTCTTGAAAAAAAATCAAATGTTGTGGAATTATAATTATATATCAAGATGACAATTTAAAGTTAAGTCAGCCAACAGTTTTTAGAGCCAGTCTAGCTGCAGGTCACTGTCAGACTGACTGCATGTAAGGTGGTAATGGCTTATCACTTTTGGTTTCAGCAGAGGTTAAAGGTTGATATAACAATGGACAGTGTTCTAAGCTCATCAAGAGAACAGCTCTGACATTATAGCTATTGGATCTTGGAATACAGTTAAGTTTAAAAAGTGAAGAAGATGCACTTAATTAAGAAATGATTAATATTATGGATCCAGAAACATATATGTATTAAGTTTAAATATCTGATGTTAAAATATTACAGAAATGGAAACTTAAGCCTCAGGTAATTTGATACAAGTATGTGTGTGTGTGCCAGAAAAAAAGGGTATATCATTCTAGTGATCAAAAATGTATCATGGGTTTCTCATGCATAACAAACATTCAGGAGAGGGATGGTGGCAATCAATCAATTCTTGTCTGTCTCAAATATGACAAAGTTAAGCACTATCAAATTAGTGCCTTTCACATCCTAAATGTTGCTAAGAAATCAGAAGAATACATCTTTGTACATTAGGCGGAGTGTTTGCTGGAATATTCATGATATTTCTACATGAATCATCCCCGATCATTGCGATTATTTATTAGTGTTTTTTAGATGTGTCTGTCTTGAATGATTCCAGCATGCAAACCATTACACTTCCCTCCGAGAAAAAGATTTACTGCCATACCATTTTATTTGGGTGGTGGAAAAAATATTGAATTTGGCGTTTTTTCCTCAAAAAATGGCTCTTCTTTGCAGTGTTTCAGCTCAATAAGCTGTAAATCTTGTGAGAAGTTCTTTTAAATTTGAATTTTATGGAAAATTTTTATTTTAATTATGTGCAAGAGAGTTATTATCTCTCCATGTCTCTAAATTATTTGCGATGAATTTTAGTGAAAGGGGCGATATGGTATCAAGTTATTTTGTTTGATTTAAGATGCTTATTAAAATTCAGTGAGAGCATATCACTTGTGTTGAAGCAACAATAGTGTAACTTGATGATCTTAAACGAACACGTTACAGTATTATTGCAATGAACGGCTGGTTCTCACTATAGTATGATAGTTTCTGGTGTCAGATTTCAAGCTTCGTTAATGGACTTGCTAGGTTCGGTTTCTCTGAAGACAAATTATGGAAGTGTTAAGTTGCTAACATGGTAATGCACATGCCACAACCATCTTATTCATGCTAGATGCTGATTTTAGTCAGATAATAAAATATACTGTTACTTTAAATACAAATATGTTGTAGAAGAATTTTGATGAAAATTATAAAATATTGTATCAGAGTATCACTGTAATCATCATCTCAGTTTTCTCTGCAATACTGCAGTAACTTATATGAAATAAAGAAGGATTTACAACAGTCTTGCAGTCAACCCTCAAATTGTGTGATGTCAGTTTTGAAAAAAAAAATCCGTACAACATAATTGTCATAATTAACCATTATGCCATGACAGTGTTTCTTGTCTACTAAAAAATAGGTAATGAATGGGGTAACAATGTAAAAGTTATAGAGTTTGGCAATATTTTAATGAGGGGTGTCTGTGGCTGAGTGGTTATGGTTGTTGACTTTAAACCACTTGTATCCGGAAATCCGCTGTGGGTTCAAAACCCAACAGGGACTTTTGGTAAATCCAGTTAGCTTATGGAACATTGGTGGTTCTACTCAGCTGCTCCTTTATGACTGAAACAATGCATTGAAGTCTTCATTCACTAGTAAAGCTGGAAATTATTAATTATTATCCAAGTGGAATGTGATATATAAATAGGTATTGTTCCATACTTAAAACATCACATATAATTCATTATAGAGAACAGGTCACTAAATATTCAAAAGTTAGGTCAATATTGCCAAATAATACCTGAGTGTTTCTTGGTAATTTAATTCAAATATTTCAAATTTTCAAAGTCAGTTCATTTATACGCTGGCAGGCTGGCAGTGTTTCTTATACATTACTTGTGTATGAATTTGTAACAATGTAAAATCAATACAGGTGTTTTGGTAACTTAGTTCAAATAACTAAAATTTGTACTTATTAATTGACAATGATATGTTATGCTAGAATATTGTTCCTTTGTTTATTTGTTATTTCCAGCATTTTAGTCATGTTTTGTATTATATATTTACAGGGACTTGAGCCATAACAGGATAACTTTGATAGAACCTGGATCATTTGAGGGACTGTCTCAACTTAGAAGATTGTAAGTTACTACAACAATGTAACATTACTGAAGTTTAATATCCTGTGCCTCGCTAAATATTTTGAATGAACTTGTCCATCTTTCAATGTGGACTAAAGCCATTCATCTCTTTTAGGGAAATTTCAAAACAGGTAGTGACTAAAATGGAAACAATGCAGACAATGATCAGACTGCACATGATTCCGTATTCTGATTCCTTTCACCTATTTCTGTCTCCAGTAGTCAAGTATTTTATATAGGTGACTTTAGCATCACTTAAAGCTCAAATTGTCAAAACGACTTTGCCCTTGTCAACCCTTAGGTGTAGATATGTTGTGCATTTAAATTATGTAACAAATCTGTACATTTGAATTCTATTGTAAGCCAAAAAAAATCAAGCATGTATCTTTAAAGTCTGCAGTATGAACTTTGTTGCTTGACAGTTCACATGTTTATTTTGAAATGATGAATACAGTATTTGTATAAGATGGAATGTGTTTATACAGCATACAGTCAAAATCTTGCAGAAGTTTATATAGGTAACTAGAGATTTGATGCATTGATGCGGACAGATATAATGCAATCCGTGCATTTCATTTGTGCATACCATTCTTCATCTTATCAACAGTGATTGGATAGTCCCCAGATTCCTAGTACATATTGTACCGCGCCTTGTATGATATATTAAAGGGACATAACACTAGATTCCTAGTACATATTGTACCTGTCTTGTATGATATATTAAAGGGACATAACACTAGATTCCTAGTACATATTGTACCTGTCTTGTATGATATATTAAAGGGACATAACACCAGATTCTTACTACATATTGTACCCCTTCTTGTATGATATATTAAAGGAACGTAACACCAATTTCCTGGGTCATATTGTACCCCTTCTTGTATGATATATTAAAGGAACGTAACACCAATTTCCTGGGTCATATTGTACCCCTTCTTGTATGATATATTAAAGGAACGTAACACCAATTTCCTGGGTCATATTGTACCCCTTCTTGTATGATATATTTTAGAGGGACAGAACGTGTCCAGATTCCTAGTCAATATAGTGCCCTGCCTTGTATAATGTATTAAAGGAACGTAACACCAAATTCCTTGTAAATACTGTGCCCTGCCTTGTATATATTAAAGGGACCTTACACCAAATTCCTTAGAGTACAGTCATATTGTACCCCACCTTGTATAATATTGTAAAGGGACATAACACCAAATTCTTAGTACATATTGTACCCCTCCTAAATGCATGATATATTAAAGGCATGTAACCCTGCCTTGTATGATATTATAAAGGAACACAACCCCATATCCATGGTACATATTGTACCTCATTTTCTGTGAAACATAACTTGAGATGAACTGCTTATTTGATCAGTACCTAGTTCTAAAATACTTCACAGCTCCAAATTGAAAAAAAATGTCTTAATTGTGACAGAAATGCATAAAGAAAAAAAATTGTAAATATCCATGTGAAGTTTGACTGTAGTAAAAAAAAAATTATATTCTTAACAACATATTTGTAGTTGTTACTTCTGGAGTAAGGACTATTTTGTATGTTTTAATTGTCCTGTGATTGGCAGTATCAGTATTATTGTATGGCCTTAGGATAACTTAAATCACTTATTAATTTGTTTGATATGTATTTTTTTTCTACTTAGAAAATGATAATGAATCTGTGAAACCCAACCCCCCCCCCCCCCCCCCAAAAAAAAAAAAATAAATTAATAAATAGAAACAGACTACTTAAATTTGATACTTGAAAATATTGAGTTTTGAAAGATATATATTTTTTTACATAAACCTGAAGGCAAGCCATGGTCCCAAGTGATTAAAGTGCCTGCCTCTCAACTTAGAGATCATGGGTTCAAGCCCTAATCAGGTCACAACCATGTTTCTTCACATGACACCAGTACTGGTTGGTTCCAGGAAGTAGACCAAGTTGCAAGAACTTGTTTCGCAATCTAGCTGAAATAAATATGTTTAATCCAAGGCAAGCCTCTTTAATACCACACAAAGACTCAAATTCTACATGTCTATATAAATATATCAATTTCGTTTTCTTACAAGATGATATTCTAAAATTTATGAATGAGAAAATTTGCATTTCTAGGGCATTTGAAAAAAGAAAGGCAAATTTAATAGGAAGGAGTCCTGCTGTGCCTGTGTGTGTTGAATTTCAGTAAATACAGGAGTTCAGTTTCAATTAGTCCTTATAGGGATCTATTTACATGAAAATTGCAGTTTAATTTCAAATTTCTATAGGTCCCCTATTAAAGAGAGTTTAACCATTTTAATAAAAGAGACAGTAATTTAAACAGTGAACAGTTTTTTGATGTTCATAATTTGACGACCTTGTGCTGGGTCAATTGTATGACAAAGGAAGTATTTAACGTAATTATATTAGGAATTTCTTTCAGGATGACAAAAATCTTTTTCTCATTACTTAACGCATCTCAATTTGAATATATCTCGTCGCAGAGGATTGGGTGACATAAAAACTACCTTTTTGAGCTGTTTTTATTGTTGTGTTTTTATGACAGGTCTTTGAAGTAAGGGTCGGATTCCCTTTTCTTCAATTGCTGATTATAAACTGCTTGTCATTCAGAGCAGCAAACTTGTTTCACTTCAAAGAAACAGCTTATAATCGTTAAATACTATTTATATCCATTTTGAAAATTGTTGCTCTTGTATGTATTATTATGATTAGAGCATGGATACATAAGGAACAAATCCAATGGTCACTCTAGCTTCAAAGTAATTAGCAATTGTTATTGTTATTCTGACCTTTCATAATGTGCAAGCCTAAGTCTGAAATTTTGGTGAAAATTTACTTGGGTCTTCTCATGACTATTACTGTATCATTAAAACCATGAAGCCAACATTACATGATACCTAACCTGTCCAAAGATTGTGTTGCTGAACACAAACCCAACAAAACACCAAAGTCAGTGGTAGCTGAATCTATCTTTGCATACAACCAGTGTTGACCAAGATCAGCTTGCACATCTTTGCCATGTTTGCTTGTCAGTCAGTAAATATTTTAAATTCACCCTGAAAATAATGAATGGTTTTGTCCAGATTGAAAGATGGACAAGTCCATTTCAGCATGGCAAGGGTTAATTTCTCGAGATTTTATCTCATTACTATTAAACCAGGTATGCTGATTTTCAGTTTGTTCACCTGTAATTCAGAATTGATGTTTTGATTAATGTGAATAATTACAGTGCACTTTTGTTCAATTACAGGGATTTATCAAACAACAACCTCGGCAGCATCAATGGAAGTATATTCTCTGGTTTACCAAATCTACAAAAATTGTAAGCATAATCTATGTTGTATCTTTGGAGATCTTTTCATGAGCAATCATTTTATAAATATGTAAATATGTTAGGAAAGATTACATAACTTTTGAGAAGAGATAATGGTAGGAATATGTTACCAGTATATGGGGACGAGCCATTCTGTACTGTCTCCATTACATGTCTTAACAGACATTTATACAATTAAATATATTTTGAATTGAAATTTGAACACCCTAACAGTAGACTGTTCCAACAGGACTAGTTTATTATGTAATTTTTAGGGGTGTTTAAGTTGATGATATAAAGTACAGCTTACATTCAGTTAGAATAAAACATAATTGATATTCTTAAAACTGCACTCCCTGTACAAGAGGTAGAAAGAAAAACTCTTATAGAAAATATATTCCATAGGTAAAAATAGTTAAGCTACAGGGTGTTGCTAAAAGTTCTCACATGTCAAACTATTTCACTGGTTTGAGCAACTGATATTGATTAATGAAAACTTCCTCCAAAAAATAAACATGAGATCTTTGTTAAGGGAAATTAATTATAATAGGATATCGAAAAGGAAACTGTATATAATATATGTTTAAAGTATTGTTGAGTGGACGATCAAGTTTTAGTTAATGATAATGCCATAAGCGGTCAGGAATGACTGCCACCATGAAATTGTTGCATTTCTTGTTGATTTGATGTTTAATAGCAGGGATATGCTGCCCTTCCTACTTAAAACTTTGAATAAATAAAAAAGAAATCAAATTTTTAGTCTCTAGATTTTTTTTCCAGTAACATTTTAATTGATCTAGGTTTTTCGTTGTTTTCTTTTTAAAGAATGGATAATTACCTGCACTTTATGACATGATATCTGGTTATCTGGGATTTAAGTGAGGCAATTAGCATTGAATAATTTAATAATATTAATTTGACTAACATGGCATAAATTCTTCCCCCATCCCCCTTCCCCCCCAAAAAAGGAAAAAGAAAATGTCAAAGTAAAATACAATTTACAATTTTAAAACTCTTTTTTTCTGTCAAAAGATTTTGAAAGTTGATTAATTAATGAAATCTCTGCACTTTTTTTGTTTAGGGTACATTATAATATATCTATATTTATCTTCTGAAACATAATTGATTTACTAATGCAGTTTATAGTCTATTTCACTCACAAATCAAGTTTGTCCCTCCCTAATGTAGACATTAATTGAATCTTTATAAAAGGCTGCGGTTTTTCATGTCATCCCTAATAATTTGAAATTGTTCTATATTGAAGTTGATTCCCCTGCTTCTCTACGGGTCCTAATTTGATTTGTTTGTAGAAAATTTCTCGTTTACTTGCTAATATTTTGGTCGCTAGTTGAATTAAGAATTCAATGGTTTCGTAGAGGGATGTTTTTTGAAACGATAAAAGCCCTGCAAGTTGGAGAGATGTGGAGAAGATTTTGTTGCTGGAGCCATTTACAATGTGAATGCTTCATTTGATTGAGATAAGGTTTTGCATACAAAATAATTGACTTTATTCTTTACGTGCATATGATCGTCGCGCATGTCAAAAAACATCAGTCTGTAAAATTTAAAAAAAAGAACTTTGAAAATTTAGTGATTGTTGCAAAGTCAACAGAATTACAAACATTGAGAAATTGCAAAATAGTCAAATTTTTTTCCATGCTGCGCTATTAATTATAAAAGCTGTACAAATGTATGGCGCTCGGGGAATTTGCAACGTATTCAAATTGTTAAATGCTGTAAAATGAAGCTGTACAATCATGTTGCATTTAAAGGTATAATTACATGATTACAATCATTTGAATTATAATAGGACATCTAAATCTGAGAGTTCTGGAAACATGTTTGCCTGTCAAAGGTAATTTAAACCATACCATGTTGAACTTCGATATTTGTGGTGAGATGTCATCAACTGTGTATCAAATTCAAAGAATGCCTATTGTTAATTCATGTATATTACATTATTACATTATCAGTATTTGTTTTATTTATTTTAACTAATCTAGAAGGTGGGCTATGTATACATTTTGATGCTTACTTTTATAGGGCAGGTTGTGGTTATGGCAGGTTAAAACCACCAGGCCAGGTCTCCGTCAGTCTGCTTTATTTTCAATTTTGAGATCCATTTTAGACATAAAAGAAATGAAGTGGGGATTTTGTCTTTTCGGCTTAGCTCAATAGGGCGAGGATCAACTTTGTAATACAGGGGTTGTTAGTTTGATCCTCGGACAATCAAAATTTCTCTAAGACAATTCATCTTGGACATGACGTTATTTGTCACTCATCACTGAACAAATAGTTGGTCACTTGTAGATCACCAAGAGGTGTTGAAATTTCTGTATAAACCAGACAAACAAAGGAAGGAGTGATTCAAATTGTAATTCTGTTAATTTTGTAGAACAACAACAACAGCAATGTATTATCCAATGTTATGTAAACTATATTTATATATGTTTATAATTTCAGAATGTTATCATATAACAAGTTGAATACAATACCTGATGGAACATTCAATGATCTTCCAGCTCTCAGACGACTGTAAGTTGGGTTATTTCCTACATCTCTTTGTATGTATTATTATAAAAAAACCTTGACATTGGTGGTGAAGCCTAAAACCCAAAGAATAAAATTTATCAAAATATTATTACTACAGTAACTATATTTATCATTGACTGACCACCTAAACAATTAAAGCACAATGTCAAGGACTTGTTTAGAAATAAGTGAATCTCAGGTGTGCTCTAAAAAGTAAGGAAGATTAACACTGAAATTTAATTCGTAATAACTATAAATTATGTAAGTAAGATTTTAATTAGTTTTGTGGTTTTCCAGGGATTTCCAGTCCGATTATTTACGATGTGATTGTCATTTAAAGTGGATTGTAAAATGGACCAAGTACAAAAAGGTCAAGATCAAATCCAGCACTACATGTGCAGTACCAAAAGAGTTGAAGGGTTCATCGTTAAAGAGGTTGAAACAGAAGGATCTCCATTGTGGTATGATATTTTGATAAAATGTGAAATTATGATCAATGTCTACACAGATTGGCAAGTGGTTTTTACTTGTCTCAAGTATCTCAACTAGCATTATGAGATTCTTGCATATCAGACTGGTGTTTCCATTAGTTTACCCATGCCAGAAATTTCATCTGGCACGAGGGAATGCCAGGCAAGTTGCTTGCTATACAATGATGTCATTTAAGCGCATTTTATAAATGAAACTTGTTAATGTGACTTCATTTCGGGGCATTTAAGAATGAAACTGCATGCTTAGGATGAAGTCATTTAGCAGTTATGAATTCATATGCTATCATAAGAAAATAGTTATGTAAGAAATTATATTAGATTTGTATGTCAGATATTATTATGGTTTCAACAATTCCCAGACTTGGTTGGTTGTATGTAATGCATGAGACCAATAGTCAGTTGTAGCCTGGACTGCCACCATCAGAGCCGTGCAAGTGGTTGCAGGGAAATAAACCAGCCAGTCTCCGCTCTGTTGGTTCAATGCAATGGTTTTGTTTTAAAACCTAAATAATAAAGGATATTAATGTTTAAATTCTTTTGCGTTTAATGGAGAATTTATCATGCAAGTTTCCATTTAAGGTCTGGCCTATAACAAAGGATTTGGTAATCAGTCACTTTTTCTTAAGGATTGAGTAGTGGATACACTTACCATGTGCATAATTTGGTTTATAATTATTCTTGAGATGATTCTATCCTTACAGAATGTCTGAAAGAATCTAATATGCATTGACATACATGTATTGTTGAATACTTTAAAGTGACATTATGCCCTTCCAAGGGTATATGTAGAGTGAACAGTCAATTTTTATGCCCCCGCCATGTAATGGCCGGGGCATATAGTGTTACCCTGTTCCGTCATTCCGTCCTTCCGTCCTTCCGTCCTTCCGTCCTTCCATCCTTCCGTCCTTCCGTCCTTCCGTCATTCTGTCATTCCGTCATCATCAGTTTCCGTTCATTATCTTAAGAACGGTTGGGCACATTCAACTCAAATTTGACATATGGATATGTCATGAGAAAATACAGGTCAAGTTCGAATTTGGTCATGGTTCGATGATTTTTGGCAGAGTTATGCCCCTTTTACTTTGAAAATAATATGAAATTTTCAGTTTCCGTTCATTATCTCCCCAACGGTACAACACAATCAACTCAAACTTGACATATGGATATGTCATGAGAAAATACAGGTCAGGTTCGAATTTGGTCATGGTTCGATGATTTTTGGCAGAGTTATGCCCCTTTCACTTTGAAAATAATATGAAATTTCAGTTTCCGTTCATTATCTCAAGAACGGTTGGACACATTCAACTCAAACTTGACATATGGATATGTTATGAGAAAATACAGGTCAAGTTCGAATTTGGTTATGGTTCGATGATTTTTGGCAGAGTTATGCCCCTTTTACTTTGAAAATAATATGAAATTTTCAGTTTCCGTTCATTATCTCCCTCAAGGTACAACACAATCAACTCAAACTTGACATATGGATATGTCATGAGAAAATACAGGTCAAGTTCGAATTTGGTCATGGTTCGATGATTTTTGGCAGAGTTATGCCCCTTTCACTTTGAAAATAATATGAAATTTTCAGTTTCCATTCATTATCTCCCTCAAGGTACAACACATTCAACTCAAACGTGACATATTGATGCGTCAAAGGAATGCGCAGGTCAAGTTCAAATTTGGTCATGGTTCGATGATTTTTGGCAGAGTTATGCCCCTTTTACTTTGAAAATAATATGAAATTTTCAGTTTCCGTTCATTATCTCCCTCAAGGTATAACACATTCAACTCAAACATCACATATGGATGCGTCAAAGGAATGCGAAGGTCAAGTTCAAATTTTGTCATGGTTCGATGATTTTTGGCAGAGTAATGCCCCTTTCACTTTGAAAGTAATATGAAATTTTCAGTTTCCGTTTATTATCTCCCCAATGGTACAACACATTCAACTATAATTTGACATATGGATATGTTTTTGGAATGCCCAGGTCAAGTACAAATTTGGTCATGGTTCAATGATTTTTGGCAGAGTAATGCCCCTTTCACTTTGAAAATAATATGAAATTTACAGTTTCTGTTCATTATCTACCTAACAGTGTTACATATTCAATTTTAATTTGACATATGGATATGTCAAAGGAATGGGCAGTTCAAGTTGGAATTTGGTCATGGTTTGATGGATTTTTGGCAGAGTTATGTCCCTTTCACTTTGAAAATAATATAGATACATCTTAGGAATAAGCAGTTTAAGTTTGAATTTGGTCGTGGTTCTATGATTTTAGACAAACTTATCTTTCCTGAATGTTGGAAAAATTTTGAACTTTCAGTTTCAGCACTCATTCTTTTAGCCATTATTTTGGCTACAAATATGCAATATGCTTTTTCTAAAGGTTAAGACTGAATAATTTCAGTGCCTTGAACGTTGTATGGAAATGGTTTGTGTTAATATTGAAAAGTTTTAAGGGCTTTGAACTTAAAATGAAAAAAAAAAAATTAATGCACCATCTGAAATTTTGGCTGCATGCGGGGGCATCCGTGGCATGATGACACATTTCTAGTTTCATATATAAATTATATATATATAGTCAGTTCAATCTTTCAATACATTTAGACAGTTCAGCTTATTTAGACAATAAAAAAATGAGCATAATGTCAAATGGACACTTGAAACTGACTGATAAATATATTTCGTGAAAATAAACAAATTTGAAGTGTTGAATCATTCTATTTATATAAATAAACAATAAAACAATAAATTTTACAGATCGTCCGTTAGAACTGCCTCTGTTTGAGATTAAGCCTGGGATGAGTCAGATCGTGTTTGAAGGAGACAAGCTTCCGTTTGATTGTCAAGCATCGGTTGTTGACCCAAACACCAAGATGTTCTGGTTACGTCGTGGGGCAGTTGTGGAGACGAATCGTTCTCAGGGGATATTTATACACACTCGTAAGACACCGGACAACACGGTGATGATGCATTCTCTAGTACTGGAGGATCTCAAGTCTCCGCAGAGTGGCAAGTGGTTGTGTCTCGTCTCCACACCTCAGGTACCATGTTTGATTCTTTTTTACGTACAGTATAAATGATCATTTGACAAACTCTATTGAATACCTGTATAACTTTGTTCAGAAAATAGAAAATCAATTTTGAGTGCATTGATGTAGAATAATGCATGGTTCGAGTTGCGTAAGAAGGCCGACAGGTCTGAGTGATGAATTACATTTCGAGAAAGCATTTGAACGATAAACTATGCATTATAATACTATAATGCAAGAAAAATTAATATCTATTTCTATCTAACATGGTAATAAAAAAGAAAAGAGAATTGATATTTGAATATGTTGAACTACACTGAGCATAGAAGTAATTTTCCTGACATCATATCTGACACCACATGATGTGTAAGCATTCCTTTTTTATGCTATGCATGTATCATGTAATAATGCCCTTGATTTGAAAATATCTGTTTGAGAGGGGAATAGTGTGAATTGTGTAAGAATTGATGTTAGATCATGCACATGATTTTTGTTGTCGATGAAACTGTGAAAATTCAAGTCCATAATGAAATGGGTCTGTAGTAAAAATACAACACCTACCCAGCTTTATAATTGCTTAATACTGTATAATTATATAAGCACATTACATAGTAAACTGCATTCATATCTCATTGATGTTGCATATCTCAGATTTTTCTCGGTATACGACACAGCAACATTTATGAATATTTTAGACATTTTATCTATTGATTTTATTCAGAATAGGTTAATATTTTAAAGAGATGAATATTTTTCAGGAGCCATATTTGAATATTTATAAGATTCCTGTATAAAAAATGCAGGAGAAGTTAAGTCTGGAGAAGCAAGATAATTTAATTGTTTTTGTAAATCTGAAATTCAAATGTTTTCATAAAGCCATATACTTTATTTTGGAGACAAGCCATTTATTAATGTATCATGAGATGTTATGTGCAGCCAAGAAGAATATTCTTTATTCTATATTTTTGCTTTTGCATTCGTCTATTATTAATATTAAAGGCCCATTATGCCCCCAGAAATCCTCCTATTTCATCTATTATTAAATAATATAAAGGGCCCATTATGCCCCCAGAAATGCTTTCATTTTTCTTTCTGAAAAGCTTTTAATTTTTGATGTCTCGTATTAATTTCCAAAATTTATTCATTGGCCAATTACAAGAACCATGTTTCATTTCTGTTGCATTTTGGAAATAAATACAGTTATAGTAATTTAGAATTTTATATGGAAGTCAAAATACTGTAGGACAAAAGCCCCCCCCCCCCCCGACGAAAGCCCCCCCTGTCTAAAAATGACAAGGTGGACAAAAGCCCCCCCCCATGAAATTTACACATAGGACAAAAGCCCCCCCCATCAAAAGTTCAGGTAGGACAAAAGCCCCCCCCCCCCCCCCATCTTTTTTCACACGCACAGGTGCTCAAATTCATCAAATTTCACACAAACTTTTAAATAAAAATGAAAAGAATTTGTTTTAATGTTTATTTATAATGTATATATTGAAGTGATAACAAAGTGTATGATAACAGATGAAATAATGCATGCATGCGATACCGAATTCATAGCTTTTCATATACACACACAACAAGGGTCAGAAGAGTAGTAAATGTGTAATCACTTTTGTAAAGGGACCAAATTAATATCCTTAGCACTATGTCACCTACATGTGATGTCCATCCATACATATCTTTTAAACACATAAAATACACAACTTTAATACACTATATTTAAATTTGATTGACCAGGGGGGGGGGGGGGCTTTTGTCCTATGTGTAAATTTCATGGGGGGGGGCTTTTGTCCACCTTGTCATTTTAAGAGGGGGGGGGGTGGCTTTTGTCCGTATCCCCAAAATACTACCTTCAGTACCTTGTCTACATTTTGCAACTTATATGACGAATAATGTCTTACGCATTGAAATTTTCTTTAAGAGATTAGCATTTCATACATGTAATATGCTTTTAAACCATTATTTAAACATAATAAAGTTCATATTTTCCACTTTAAGAGATTGAAATATTTGTGTCTGAGGCATAATGTGCCTTTAAGTTTTGAGATATCAATGTGAAAATGAAAATTTATAGTTGGTTAGCCAATAGTGTATAAACCTGGTCAGTCTGCAGTGATGTGTAGACTGGTTCTAGGGGCGAAGAATATTCAATTTCCGTTCCAGAATTCTAGGAGATATTTTACATCCTAATGTCATATCAATGCAGATTTTTTAATGAAATTATATTTTGTCGAGGTGCATAAATTGAAGAAAAGGATGGCAAAGATGTTCAAGATTAAGGTTTATGTCTACTGTCAATGTCTCAAAATGAGACAGATGTAATGATACAAATCTGAGATGATTTTCTTATAATTTTCTTCATATCATTTTGGTTATTTGTTGTAATATGCCCTTACATAATTATTGTCTTGCTTGTTTTATTGGGGCCAATTTTATATTAAATATACAATTGTTGAAGACAAACATTGCAAACATTGGCTCCTAGAATGATTTTCGATATTGGCTTTATAGCTTATCTGAGCACAAAGTGCTCAAGTGTGAGTTTTTGTGATCACTATGTGTGCATTGTGTGTCTTGCATTCTTCAAAAAAATGGTGTCAAACTTAAAACAACATCTCCTCCTAGACCAATAGGCCAACATTGTTAAAACAGTACAAGAATGTTCTTGGCCTGAAGCTCTTTAAAAATTGTTCAAAGAATTCCTTTCCATGCTAAATTATGGTTGCCATGGCAACTGAAAGAGAAAACTTAAAAAGCTCCTTGTTTATTATGAAACACAATTTTACTTGAAGTTTGACTTATGCTAGTATTCATATGTGTGTGAAAGTTTTGTATTGTGACAAAGCTTCCATAAATTACTCCTAACTATGCATTGTTACATTGTTCTCTTGGTTTCTACAGGGCAATGTCACAAAGACCGTCACAATCGTTGTGATTGACAGCAATGCTCCACAGTGTGAGAAAAACACCACCAAGACAAACAAAGGTGTTTATATATGGGAGGCAACGGTTGCCGGAGTAATAAAAGAATTGCCATGTAAACTAGGAGATGGTATGATCACCCATTTATGTGACAAGCAGGGAAGATGGACAAATCTAAATCATACGGCATGTGGCTTCACCAATGAACTTACTAGAAAGTTACAAAGTCTTGCTGAGGTAAATAAAATATGTTGTACATGTATGTAGTTCAATATAGGAAAAAAACAAACATTTTTAACGTGTAATAAAAGTAAGTGTATTGATATGTCAAAGCTATATTCAAAATTTCCATTCTTAAATATTGCTTCTGAACCTTAGAATTTAAGCTAACTTTTGTATAAATATTGTCCAATTGTGTTTAAATGGCTATTGTTCTGTTAAGATTTTGATATACAATCATGCTTAATATTAAATTGTGTAATTTAAGTTTTTTACATTGATCTGGAGCTTGAAACCTTGAAATAATAAGTTGATTGCTTGAAATTATGAAAATAGGAATTTGGTACCACCCCTTGTTCATAACATTCTTGTTGAAGAGCCACTGTCTTTCGTGAAAGAATAGGTCATTACTTGCACAGATAACTGTGTTGGTGCACTGTAAACCAAACAAACAAACAAAGTTGCACAGATCTAAACGCACTAATAAGGTAAATGCTAGGTAATGAACCTGATATTGAATCAAACAGAACAAAACCATTAAAAAAATGAAATATGATGTTTGTACTAATGTATAAAAATTTTATGACATATTTTCAGAAGGACACAAATTCGTCCAAGATATTAAATGATGCGAAGAATCTAGAGAAGCTTGTATCTGCTCCACTGGTCAACGAGGAGGACCCCCTGTCCACCATTAATCCGGAGTATGTTGACCTTGCGTCTATGGCTATATATAGACTTTGTCAGCGAGCTTCACTTGGAGAGGAGGTAAATAAAGATATGATAGCACTTTATATGTTTGTTAATATGTCTTATTTGTTTGAGTATCTATTGTTGGATCAAACTATATATATGCCTGATACTATATAGGAATAGGATAATGAGACTATGTGGGGATATTTTTGTTGAATTTCAAGCCACATTTATCTGTCAAACTGATACGGCAACTTTCTACACTCTTCACTTGTGGAAGCAGACCCTAGGTGCAACTTGATGCGTGGTTTGTGGCATGAGAGGTTGCCACTAATCTTCCCTGCACTAACTGGATAGCATATTTATATGTATATTAATTTGACTTCCTGTATAACATTCCAATCAATAGAGATGAGATGTTGGTGACTTTATTTTATAGATATAACATTATGACAAATGGAATTCTGTAAACTGACTTTCAAAAAAGCATGACAGTAAGGTGACTGTAGTAAGGCTATAAGGAAAGACAAAGTAGTTACATTTTGAAGTATGTTTTGTTTCTTTACCTACGCCACCTAAATGAACCATGTTGGCGAGCAATGTGTTGTGCAATATTTTATGCATGTATATATTTTTGTTTACAGATTGTAAGGTCAGTGTTGTCAAGCACCAGTAAAATAATGAACATCAGCACTAGTATATTATATGAGGCACAGAAACAGAGAAAATCTCTCTCTAGGTAACATTACACGACTTTTTTCTGTCCTTATTCTGGAAATATGACTAATACAATTGTTGTTAGGAATTTTAGCAAACAGAGAAAGTATGTAAAGCAGTCTAACTTGTAAATATTGAAAAAAAAAATATATATATGCTGTTTACAACTTACTGTTTCAAAAGGAAAAGATTTTTAAATAACATTCATTTTATATGCAACTGTATATATATTTGATTGCATATGAATTAAGTGAATTAGAATTTTCTATCTATTTATATGGCAATTTGGAATTGTATGACAATTTGATTTGAGTTAAGGAAATTAAGCTGTCACTTGAAAATAATGGTAATTTTAGATGATACAATTGATAGACTAAAAGCTTTTGTAGATGATTTTCTTATCTAAGTATTTTAATGTAATTTTTAAACTAATTTTTAAGCTATTTATTCCATCTTATTATTTTTCGTGGAAACCGACAAAGATAGAAACTTAATTAGCCCGACTCTTTAGAAGAAATAGAAAACTATTAAATTTGTTAACACTTTATGTTTCCAAGAGATCATCTTTTATGATTTGATGTTACATACCAACATCAGAGATTGGAATTGAGAAAATTTCATTTCTCTGATAATGAGAGAATATTTTTCATTCTAAGCATTTAGGTCTATGTCAGTAATAGTGTAATAGATAACACTGATTTTGTGATTTTAGAATCTCTAAGGCCATTGAGAGCATACCAGGACAGTATCGGAAAGAGGACAAGTTCAGTCAGTCAGCAGAGTTCATCGTCATGGAAGCAAGGTCATATGCTGCAAGCGAGTTCAAAGGAGTACAGTGCAGTGGACTGGACCTCACATATGATGAGACTGCTCATAGATTGATACAGTCTGTGACTCGTATAGTGTTTGTGTGTAGTGAACCAGTCAACAATACTTCAAATTATGAATATCTGAAATGGGTAAGCTCATAATTGATCTTAAAACTGTTATTGCAGAGTCACAGTTTTTTTTTTGCTCATTCCATTGTTCTCCAGCCTTCCATGCTAAGAAAGTTTAAAAGCTTATTTCTGTCAGGGGTTGAAGATCATAGAGGACATGTTGCGTTTGCATCAAAATAGATGAACACTGAAAAGTTTCCTGTAATTGGTATCAGTCTGTCCACATTTAAGTTTCTATTGTCTTTTTTTCCCTTTCAGTGATGAAAAAGTCAAAACTTAACTCTTAATTTGTTATTGTTAAAGTTATTGGACTATGGGGAAAATAATTGATCGAACAACAGTAAAAGACGGCCTGAATTGAAAAGTTTTCTGGCTTTTTAAATATTGATGAAAAAACAGAAAATTATCCAAGAATGAGTATTATAGAAGGAGACAGTATTAGAGAGCGCTGGTTTTTCTGAATGTTTACATTTCATTAGAGGCAAATGCAAGCAGCCATTTAATTTGTGTGATAATTATCGTAACTGTGTGCTACATGCACAATTTCCTGTAACTGCCACAACGTTAAATGCTTTGTTTGCAGTGCACTCAGGGGTGAAGGCACTGATAAAATATAATTGTGAACCCGAGCTTTCTGACAGCTTGTGACAGATGAAAAATATTTCTTCTGCATAAATGTGTTTTGAAATTGTTTGGTTGATGAAAGGGGATGAATTGTCATAAACTGGTTAAAGCAGATTCGAAGCTGGTGCCTTGAAAATCCAAAGATATTAAATTAATGTAAATAATATGGAATTGCAGATATTATATTTGCTTATATGATAATGTTATGTTATAACTTTGTTTGGCTCTTGAGCTTATTAGTATTTTTGCTAACAAATATTACATGATGAAGGACGGTGTGCCAGTTGATCTATTGGTCTGCACTGATTGCCTGGAAGAATCTATTGCCGTATGCATGCTGTAGGTTAATCAAGATCAGCTTACCATAGGGGAGGAATAGAGTTTATTTTATAACCTAACAGCTAATTAAATATCTAGATATTAAATTTGATCATACATAATGGTGTTATTGAAATATACAAATTATATCTGGAACATCTCTAGAAAATGCAATGCCCCTGGGGTCAAATTAAATATGATTTGCTTTTTGAAGATTAAAATTGTTAAATATTAAAATGTAGCAAAGAGGAAGAATTTTTATCCTTTATTAAGATGGGGCATGATAAGTAAAGTATATTATAGGTGAAAAAATTTATCTCTTTGAAGCTGAGATGTTTATCTACAAATAAAAGCAGTATTAAAAAAAATGTTAAGTCAGATCACGTCCTAAAATGCTTAGTGTTTCTTTTAACTGTTTCATAGACTTGAAGGTATGTTAAAAGTTAGGAAAACTGTGTTATTTTGAAGACATTTTTGATGAGTTTGCTGAAATATGTTTACTAAGTGATAATTTTATATATACATGGGGAAATGATGTTTTCTAAAAAGCTGTGGTAATGCTACAGTGTATGTTATAGATGTATCTTTTGATATGGAAATGATAGATGAAGTGTTATATTGTCTATATTGTGTAATGGAATAAGTGCATAGGAATAAGTACCGGTGAATAATTCATGATGTGCAAGGCAAAGAGGGGGGGGGGACTGTATGTAATGGATCGTGCTGCAATATTGATGAAGGTTTTATAGAGATATGTAAGATATAGTATCAGTCTATTGACTTGTTAAAAAGCAAAATTGATAGATTTGAGAATTTATCCACATTCTAGTAAAAAAACAACAATAAAAAACACCATTTTTATGTCAAAAATATTTACAGAACTGCAAAATGCAATCTTTGCAAAATTTGTCTGACAAGGAGAACATTTAGTTCCCGTAAACCTTTTATTTTCTGTAACTAAAAAATTTATTAGCTTTTGCCACCAGAATAGAGCCAGACCAACCTGCACATGCCAGTAGTTTGACCAGGCTGTGTATTATATTGGTAGCTAAACTATTGTATGTTGACAAGCCAGCCCGCATAGCTCAATCGGTTAGAGCGCGAGACTTGTAATCTCGACATTGTGGGTTCGATTCCCGGGCTGGCCAACTAAAATTACTAATCAGTCTTTCGGATGAGACTTTAAATCGAGGTCCCGTGTATGGGTGCTTAAACACTTGGCACGCTAAAGAACCAGGAGAAGCTTCTGGAATTGGGGCATCTTTCTGTATCTGTAATTGCACTATCCTCCGAAAAATAAAATGACTAATACTCTTCTGGAGGGCTCGCCCATATGGGCAACCGGTGGCGAGTATAAATAAACGCAAATACACACACACACAGTATGTTGACATTGAAATCACTTAATTGTTAAATTTAAAGCAGGTTATGTCAGTTACTGGAAGGGTTAATAAAATATGTACATGTATATGGTAAAAAATTACCTTGTCTACATTCCATTCATCATTTTTAGGATATTAAAGTTTCAAAACATGTACTGACAGTATAGTGACTAGTGTAGACCACGACCAGATGCAACTGATGTGTCAGCTGTTCTTGGTCTGCACTGGTTGCATGGGTATAATAAGATGCCGCCAAGCTTTCTAAGGGTTTGCTCGCCAATGTATGGTCTCTTTCCCAAACACACACATTAAGTTTAAGGGTTTATGAATGGGTTTTCCATATCAAACTTAGCAGCCAAGAATATGTAGTCTTATCTAGTATATATTGTACTTAATTAAAGGGTAACATAGTTAAAAGGTAAATTTTGTTTGTATTAGGCATATTGTATTAATCTAAAGGCACGTTATGCCTTGAAATTTTGTAAAAGAATTTTTACTTCGTTAGAAAAGGCAAACATATTTAATTGAAGGCACATTATGCCTTAGAAAGGAATAAATATTTACTTCATTAGAAAGGGCAAACATGAATTAATAACCTTTGAATTATGGTTTCAGAGTAAGTTAGATAGATGCTTGTTTGCTTGAAGAAATATTGTTAAATGTTTGTCATAAAAGTAGGAGAATGTAAACAAAGTAGTATTTTGATGAAATACTAATCACAATACCATAACTGTACCAATTGCTAAAAAGTAACAGATATTGGCCAATGAGAAACTTTAAAGAAACGGTTAATAAAAGTGCACCATAAATAAAAAGATTTTCAGAAATAAAAACAAAAGCATTTCTGGGGCAGCATGTGCCTTTAAATAACGAAAATTAAGTGTTTTATTGTAAGAAATAATAAAGCTACAACAATTTACTTTTCTAAATATAAACATTAATAGAAGAATGATTTTAAATTTTTTATGTTCATTGTAACATTAACATTTGCATCATTTGTACAAGTTATAAATTCACCATTTTAACTCAAAGTTTTGATGTTATTTGATTTATGTAAAAAATACATCATTATGTTATTTGGTTTCATGTAAAAAATACATCATTATCTTATTTGATTTCATGTAAAAAATAGATCATTAGTCTTGTTTATATCAGAATCAAAGCAGAAATAAAAAAAGATCGCAAATATTCTTATTGGCTAAAGTTTCATTTCAAAAACAAAATTTTTTACGAAAAATTATTTTACCATGACAAGTTTACATAATATCAAAATTTCAAATTTTATCTTAGATTTTCAAAAATTTCAAAATATACTTTTTTTTACCTTCAGTTGATGTGAAAATTTGTTTCTACATTGAGATAGGCACATATTTTATGAAGTGATTAGGAAAATTTTGGAAAGAAATTTCAATGATGAATACAGTTATCATATTATGTTTTTTCTTGCCTAAGAGGCTTATCAGGCTTGGCATTTGTTTACAGAGAAAGTGTCGTAGATAACTGAACAAATTGGACAGATTTTGTATTTTATGTTTTTTTCCTTGCAATTGGTAAAATGTTGGGTTTTGTGAGATATTAATCTGTAAGGGAAGTTATCAGAATGAGAGGTATCATTGATGCATTAATGGAGCATAGAATGTCAAGAATGAAAGATATATATACATTTTACTACAGGATATAATCGTATATTATAATCGTGGGTTTGGTGCAAACTGGTTTGATCTTTTTTTTTTAGTCCAATCTTTTTTTGTATGCTTAACTAGGTCTTTCTTTACGCAGTCAAAATACCATGAGCTCCCTTTGTTTTTTCTTAAAAAAATTGATAAATTTGTTCTTTAAATTGGAAATTTTCTAATGGGAGTTTTCATCCAAAATATTTTGTCATGATTTTTAAAATATGAACAGTTAATCTTTAACTTTTACCGAAAGCAATAAGCCATTGCCATCAGTATTGGGCCAGGCCACTGTTGCTCAGTTTTTGTATTTAAATTGTTAAATGCCATAAACATCTGATAGATTGTTCATAATTCAAATGCATTACACAAATTCAGCAGTTTTGTACAGAATTTGTTTTATTGTTTGATTGTGTAGGAAGCTATAAATTTATAGACACATTCTCAAATCCTTTCCTGGAATCAGCCAGAACTAAGGAATCATTGCAAATTTTTTTCCTAACAGAAACAACGGCTAGCAAGTTAAGGGTACAAAGTAATACATAAAGTATCACAAAAAGTGAACTGTAGGCAGGTTCTTCTACTTTACAACTTTTACCACCATGTCACCAGGCTATTAGTGTCATTTCTTCAATCTCTGCTAGAGTCATTCTTTCTGCTTATGGCAGCCCACTTTATGGCACCACACAACTTTTGTTTTTTTTAATTTTTTATTCAATCTAATACTGTAAAAGTCAAAAGGCCACTATCTAGTTGTACTGGAGGAGGAAGATAAAAAAACATTTGGCTTTTGCTGTTGAAATACAGCAGACTTAGTCTTTATAAATTTATGAATGACTAAGGATTTTTTTGGGGGAGGAGGGGGAGAATAAAAGTATTAGATTTTTATAGGAGTATACCTGTCTGTTACAAAAACAACAACGCAAGAATATGCCAATCTGTATAACAATACAACATAGACTTTGAGTCTGACTGGAATAAAAACACAAGCCACATCACTCCCTTTTTAGGGGTCTAAAGGATTAATATATAAAGGATTAATTTTCTAAACTTCCGTTCTCAGACAGTTATATAATAAATATTCTATTACAGATGGGGCAGATTTTTATGTGTGAAAGGGGAGGGAAATTTGAAAAGAATAAATTTTGATATAGCCATATGGCTTCTATTTTAGAATATAAACTTTACATCATTAAAATTAATTTATTACAGATTATGTTGATGGGAATTATAGGAAAGCATACTTATGATTTTATTGGTTTTATCAAAGTTTATGTTGGAATTGAAAAAAAATAATTTTTTTTTAATAGGTATTGCTGAAAAGAAACCACGAACAAATGTTTTATGCTGGTTGCATTGTAAAAAGTGTTTTTAACAAATTTTGTGTATGTGTGTGTGCATAATTAATTCCACATTTCACATGTGGGGTATATCGTTATTTGACATTTGATCTAGGTGGCGTGTGTATCATTTTCTTTAAATCGCCCTTGTAGTACTCCACTTTGTTAAAACGTAGACCTTTATGGTTGGGGTCCTTTGTTAAAGATTTAGGGTCATATTACTCGATTATTATTTGATAAAATGATTTAAAAGAAAATATTGCTAAGCTACCTTGGTATGTGAGTGCAAATTGACCAGGTGAAGTGTGTTTAAATTTAAATTGTTGAATCGGAGTTTTATTATTTTGAAACGGAATATTTTCAAAAACTGTTGATTTCTTAATGTATTTATGAAATGAATGAAGTTAAATGTAGTCAGTTGAAATGAATCATATTAAATGTAGTCAATTTCTGCTTACTTAAGGAAATAAATGATGTTAAATGTAGTCAATTTGTACATACTTGAAACTTTTTGATTTTGATAAAGTTTCCTGAACAAATTATGCAAATCATACTTTTACCATATGCATATTTGATGAAAAAAATAAAAACAACTTAGGGATTGTTCTTCAAAACATTTTATTTTATCACATGATGAGTACTGTGTTTATGTTTTATTTTATAGCTTTTCATAATGTAATGTAAATAACTTGATAAAGGAATATTTGATATTTTTATTTGGTTTGGTTTTAACTCTTTCAACACAGAATATCTTAGGTGGACTTGTCCATTATTCAGTCTGGACAAAATCATTGATCATTTTCAAGGAAAATTTCAAAATGTGTACTAACAGAATAGTTAACAGTGCAGACCATGATCAGATGGCACGGACATGGCAGCTGATGTGGTCGGCACTGGTCATATGGGTAGAATCTGTTGCCACTAGCAAGTTTAGGTTTGAGTCACAGCAATACAGTAAAGGTTATTAGGGCAATTAACCAGCTTCATTGCCAGAGGAAGCCCTCGGGTGTCCCTCATTGCATTTTACATTCATGATTGGGCATTCCCGGCCTAGCATATGACAGAAATCTATCAATTTTCTTGACATGTATTGTATACACTGATTTGACTGTTTTGCATTTTCTCTCATTTTTATGCCCCCGCCATATAATGGCAGGGGCATATAGTGTTACCCTGTTCCGTCATTCCGTCATTCCGTCCTTCCGTCCTTCCGTCATCATCAGTTTCCGTTCATTATCTTAATAACCCTTGCACATATTGAACTCAAATTTGACATATGGATATGTCATGAGAAAATACAGGTCAAGTTCGAAATTGGTCATGGTTCGATGATTTTTGGCAGAGTTATGCCCCTTTTACATTGAAAATAATATGAAATTTTCAGTTTCCGTTCATTATCTCCCAAACGGTTCAAAACATTCAATTCAAAATTGACATATGGATATGTCATGAGAAAATACAGGTCAAGTTCGAAATTGGTCATGGTTTGATGATTTTTGGCAGAGTTATGCCCCTTTTACTTTGAAAATAATATGAAATTTTCAGTTTCCGTTCATTATCTCCCCAACGGTACAACACATTCAACTCAAACTTGACATATTGATATGTCATGAGAAAATACAGGTCAAGTTCAAATTTGGTCATGGTTCAATGATTTTTGGCAGAGTTATGCCCCTTTCACTTTGAAAATAATATGAAATTTTCAGTTTCCGTTCATTATCTCCCCAACCGTACAACACATTTAGCTCAAACTTGACATATCGATACGTCAAAGGAATGCGCAGGTCAAGTTCAAATTTGGTCATGGTTCGATGATTTTGGCAGAGTTATGCCCCTTTTACTTTGAAAATAATATGAAATTTTCAGTTTCTGTTTATTATCTCCCCAACAGTATTAAACATTCAACTCAAATTTGACATATTGATACGTCAAATGAATGCGCAGGTCACTTTCAAATTTGGTCATGGTTCGATGATTTTTGGCAGAGTTATGCCCCTTTCACTTTAAAAATAATATGAAATTTTCAGTTTCCGTTTATTATCTCCCCAACAATATTACACATTCAACTCAAATTTGACATATGGATATGTTTTTGGAATGCGCAGACCAAGTTTGAATTTGGTCATGGTTCAATGATTTTTGGCAGAGTAATGCCCCTTTCACTTTGAAAATGATATGAAATTTACAGTTTCTGTTCATTATCAACCCAACAGTGTTACATATTCAACTCAAAATTGACATATGGATATGTCAAAGGAATGCGCAGGTCAAGTTGGAATTTGGTCATGGTTCGATGATTTTTTGGCAGAGTTATGTCCCTTTCACTTTGAAAATAATATAGATACATCTTAGGAATAAGCAGTTTAAGTTTGAATTTGGTCGTGGTTCAATGATTTTAGACAAACTTATCTTTCCTGAATGTTGGAAAAATTTTGAACTTTCAGTTTCAGCACTCATACTTTTGTGGAAATGTATATAGCCATTATGTTGGCTACAAATATGCAATATGCTATTTTTAAAAGGTTAAGACTGAATAATTTCAGTGCCTTGAACATTGTATAAAAATGGTTAAGACTGAATAATTTCAGTGCCTTGAACATTGTATAAAAATGGTTTGTGTTAACATTGAAAAGTTTTAAGGGCTTTGAACTTAGAATGAAAAAAATAATTTGTGCAAACAAATTTGGAACTAAATATTATAACATTTGAAATTTTGGCTGCATGCGGGGGCATCCGTGGCATGATGACACATTTCTAGTTCCTGAATGACTTATCAACAGAGCTTTCTGAATTTACCCATTGTGTATCTATTTTATAAAGCCCCACTTCTCTGTCCCATTAAGTTTAAGATTTGTATTTTAACTGCATTAAGAATGAAATTTTTAATGTAAATACATTGTGATTGACCTCGTAAGGTAGCATTTTCTCATGTTGGCTCTAATTTCGTGAGTAAATACAGGGCTTTGTAAAAAAGGGCTGTATTAAAATAGAATACATTTGGAGTGTACTTTAAACAAGTTTAAATCTGAAAAATAAATATTGGTCATTTTAAAGTCGGGATTTCTGTAAGATTTCAGTCAATTAGAGGAATTTAAGTTACAGGTTGTCAGGTGAAAATTGTGTAGACAGAGAAATTTATACTAAAATGATGTAAAAGAAAGCTAGGATAAAATGTAGGAGAAATAAAAAAAAACTTGGGATATAAAAAAAATATATTTCTGGAATTATTTGTTTGTTTTCTGGAAGTAAGTTACCTTTTATATTCAATATTTTTGTTGCTTCATCAGACAAAATGTCATTGATATTTTTTTCTGCATGTTTTGTACTTGGTCATTGTAAATATTCTCTCAATAGGTGCTCTTGTGCTCAGCACATTTTGTCTTGCCAATTATGGTCAATTATCATAAGATAATACCCACTTGATCATCATGAACAAAATTACTACCCAGCACCAATAAACTATATATAACATATAATGTGCCGAATGCCTGTGCATTATGCCTGTAAAATACAATCTGTCAGACCAATTTTTTTCCGAATGTACATAAAAACATACAAATTAAACAAGAAAAACCATATTGTAATGATAAGAAATAATCTGTAATATAGAAATGTTCTCATATTATGTAAGATATTATCATTGTCTATTGTAGGAACCATTGACCTCTGTTTTAATTCCAAAGTCAGTTGTAAAACTACCACCACAACCAGAGAAGAAGGAGATAGGCAACCAGACAACAACAACAACTACTACAGCAGCACCTGGCCCCGACAGTAGTATATACTTCCAGTTTATATGGTACCAGAATGCTAACCTGTTCCCTGTTGCTAATGGACGGCACGAGGACCCCGTGCTTCATGGGAAATCCTGGAACGTTATCAGCTCAGTGATTTCTCTATCCATGTGTAAGTAAATGTTGTTTGGTTGTTGTTTTTTCATTGTTTCTGAAATAAATCGTGTAAAAGCCAACTCGGGGGGGGGGGGGGGGGGGCACTTTTTTTCTGAAATAAATGTAGGAGCCATCTACAGAAGCTTTCCTCCACCATTAAATGTTGGATGACACTGTAGAAATATTATAATGACTATGACATAAAACACCAAAAAAGCACTTTTATTAATGAACATTCTGAGCTATTGGTTTTGAACTCTTCAAAGGTTTTTGTTCAATACTTTAATATGAGGCAGCTTTATATATGCAGCTGATCTGTGGTCCGACAAAGGTACTTGCTTTTACCTAGAATAATACACTGTAAATGAGGGGGGGGGGGGGGCTCATTTTTTCCGTTACCACCAGTCCAGCACAGATGCTAAGTCACCAGTAGTGTTGGTGTTTCTTATGAATAAAGGAGTAAATTATCAAACTTTTGTAAGCATTTAACAAGGTTTTCATGAAACTATACATTATTATTCAATAGTTTTAATTTCTTTATGTTTTTATCATTCATTTATATCTATTATGCTTGGAAAATCTATGAACTTGAAATCTATGTTATAGATGTAATATACTGGATAATATATGGAAATATACACACATTTTATTAACATTAATGTGTTTGTATAAATGTGTATATTTCAATTAATTAAATGTATGCAATATACCTATATATTACTTACCTTCAATTTCATAGTTTTACCCTCCAGTGTTGAAAGTATAAAGTACAACTGCACCAGATATAGAGTGAAATTATCTAACGTTCTCTGCATGAACTAGATGTATATCTGGTTAAAACAATATACCTGAGTTCCATTTCAAATTTTATCACAAAAAGTCATATTTTGTCTGTGAGATAATTTTATTGAAGTACAGTCGATAAGATATTGGAAATATTCAAACATTAGGAAAATAAAAGTTTGTTTTCAATTTTTCTCTGGCAAAGGTTTTTTGCACCAAACATTAAAAGAAGTGTTTTACACAAATCTTATGTAATCAAATGTTGACAATTTGCCAGTTAATGCCAGGTGTGGATGAATTTTTGGTAGAAAAACTTCAGCAGTATTCTCTAGTTAACATTAGCATGAAGTTTTGTGTAACAATTTTTATAGGAATTTTTTTCGCTGATATATATAGAATATACCTGTAGGTTGATATGTGTATTAAATACATGTATATTTTAACATTAAGCAACACATGTATGGGGTAATGAGTAAAGTCGTTTGGTACTTTTCAATGATTATGTTAAAAAATACCATTGAATTGCTACCCAGCTGAATGTGTGAATTTGACTTGCCCTGCTTTGGATTTGGAATTTTCCAATAATAGTTTTAGTAGCTTTAGTTTACTATATCTTAAAAGAAAAAATGAGTAACCAAGACTATATTTTATTAAACGCACAGTTGTGCAGGAAGTTCAGCTTGGCAGTTAACTGGTGACATAGACAAGCCAAGCTGTTTTCTGATAACATAGTCAAGTAAGGCTGTATACCAGTGGATAGGCAAGCCAGGCTGTATACTTGTGGCATAGTCAAGTCAGGCTGTATACCAGAGGCATAGTCAAGTCATTCTTTGTTCCTCTGGAATAGTCAAGTCAGGCTGTATTCATTTTGCATAGTCAAGTCAGTATGTATACCAGTGACATAGTCAAGTCAGACTGTATACCAGTGGCATAGTCAAGTCAGGCTGTATACCAGTGGCATAGTCAAGTCAGGCTGTATACCAGTGGCATAGTCAAGTCAGACTGTATACCAGTAGCATAGTCAAGTCAGACTGTATACCAGTGACATAGTCAAGTCAGGCTTTATACCAGTGACATAGTCAAGTCAGACTGTGATACCAGTGGCATAGTCAAGTCAGACTGTATACCAGTAGCATAGTCAAGTCAGGCATAGTCAAGTTATGCTGTATACCAGTGGATAGGCAAGCCAGGCTGTATACTTGTGGCATTAGTCAAGTCAGGCTGTATACAGTTGGCATAGTTCAAGTATTCTTTGTTCCTCGGTGGAATAGGTCAGTAGGCTGTATTCATTTTGCATAGTTCAAGTCAGTATGTATATACGCAGTGTCAAGTCAGGACTGTATACCAGTTGGCATATCAAGTCAGAACTGTATACCAGTAGCATAGTCAAGTTCAGGCTTTATACCAGTGACATAAGTCAAGTCAGGCTGTATACCAGGTGGCATAGTCAAGTCAGGACTGTATACCAGTAGCATAGTCAAGTCAGACTGTATACCAGTGAACATAGTCAAGTCAGGCTTTATACCAGTGACATAGTCAAGTTCAGACTGTATACCAGTGGCATAGGTCAAGTCAGACTGTATACCAGTAGCCATAGTCAAGTCAGGCTTTATTACCAGTTGACATAGTCCAAGTCAGACTGTATTACCAGTGGCATAGTCCAAGTCAGTGCTGTATACCAGTAGCATAGTCAAGTCAGGCTGTATACCAGTAGCATAGTCAAGTTATGCTGTATACCAGTGGCATAGTCAAGTCAGTCTGTATACCAGATATTACATATCTAACACTAAGCCTGCTTGCAGCAACACGGTCTATCCATGCAACCATTGCAGACCAAGATTATCCAGCACTTCTGTACTGTCACATCATATGCGTCACCCACTTTTTAAACCCAAATTTCAGTTTTTTTCATATTTTTTAAATTTTTTTCCCCCAAAAAATTTTTTGGAAAAGGGTTTATTTCTTCATTGAAGGTAGAAAGGGTAAAATTTACCGGTAGATAGGGGAATGAAACAGGGCCTTTCCAAAGATTTCATAAATACTTTTTTTTGGAAAATTTAAAAAAATGTTTTTTTAAAAGCATAAAATTTGTAAAAGGAAAACCAAAAGGGAAAGAAATTTTTTAAAAATTTTATCAAGGGCATTTTTGAAAACCCTGAAAAATTTACCAAAAAAAGGAGGTTAAAAAATATATTTTTTCAAAAAAAAACCCTTACTTTTGTTAGTAACGTAGTAAAATATTGTTTTTTAAAAAACTAAAAATTTTTAAATCATTTATCGAAAAAAAAAAACATGTAAATTTTTTAAATTTTTTAAATCTTGAATCTTTTTACTTTTTTTTTAAAATTATTAGTACATTTTTTTTCAATTTTTGATTTTATTGACTTTACTTGGTTGATTTTTGGGAAAGGCATGCTGTTTTTAAGCAGGGTTTTTAAATTTTCCCGGATAAGAAAGGGTTTAAAAAAAAAGAAAAAAAAATGTAAATAACGGGGGATAATTTAGTTTGATTTGGGGAAAGTTAAAAAAAATTTTAAAAATTTTTGATAATAAAAATTTTGAAAATTTATACAAAAGAAATTTTTAAAACTTTTGACAGTTTAAAAATAAGTTTTGTGCTTTTTTTGTAAATTAAACAGAAATAAAAAATAAAAGTTTAAATTTCTTGCCAGTAAATTTTTCAATTATTTTATTGAGTACCTTTAAAAGGGGAAAAAAAATTTAAAATTTTTTTCCATTTAAACACCCCCCCCCCCCCCCCCCCCCCCCCCCCCCCCCCCCCCCCCCCCCCCCCCCCCAAAAATGATATTTTTTTTACAGAATGTTTTAAATTAAAAATAAAGGGTACCCCGTTTATAAGATAAATTTTAATGGGTTTCAGGGGTTTATAGCTTCCCCCCAAAATGTTTTATTGAAAAAAAATTTTTTCTGTTAAAAAGCTTTACATGAAACTTTGTGTCAAAAAAATTGAAATTTTTAATTTACATAAGTAAATCACGCGGGGAATAAGCCCCCGAATTTTTTTTCAGAGTTAATTTTTAAAACTCGGGGGTTTTAAAATTTTACTTTTACCATTTCTTCAATTTGGGACCTTTTTTCCAGAATTTTTAGGGATAGAGAAATTTAAAATTAAGTTTTTAATTTTAATTTTTATTTGGGGGGGGAAAAAAAGAAGGTTGAATTACGGGAAAAATCAGAAAAATTTCTTTTGGGGAATTTGTTATCTTTTAACCCAAAACTGCTGTTTAAAAATTTTAAATTGTTTTTTTTGATGATGTTTTTTTTTAAAACAATGATTTTTCTGGGGATAGTTTTTTTGTTTGAAATTTTTTTTTTGGTTTTTGGGTTTTTAAATTTTTTTCTATTTGCGGGAAAATTGTTTTTCAAGTGTTAAGGGGATAAAACAGATTTTTTTCCCTTACATTTTTGGGGGGTTTTTTTTTGATGGTTTAAAATTATGAAAACGGGTTTTACGTTTTTTCATGGAAAAAAAAAATTTTTGAGATCCCAATTTTGGTTTGACAGTTTTTTTAAAAAGCGGGCCACATTTGTTTTTAAATAAAATTTACCAACCTTAAACCCAAAACCCTTTTTGGTTTGGTTTGGTGTGGGTTTGGGTTTTTACTCGGAAAAAGGGAAGAAAGGGCCACTTTGGGAATTTTTAACCAGAGACATGTCAGCCACAGCTTTGGGTTCCCTTTGGGCAGGATTTTTTTCCCAAACATTTTAAACCAGTGTTAGGCGCTTTCTTTTTCCCAAAAGTAACTGGAAAAACCTTTCGTACAGGGCCAAAAGGCAGAAAATTAAATTTGTGCAAATTTAAACTGTAAAAAAGGGTTTTTTATCATTTACAAAAAAATGCCCCTGCACCTTTCCCCAAAATTTAAAAACCCTTGGGTCACCCCAATTCACCAAAAGGCCCCCAATTTGCTCTCCCTTTTTTAAAGGGCAATTTGGACGGAAAATTTAAACCCCAACCCTTTCTTTGGCAAAAACACAAAGATAAAATTGCCCCAATTTTTTTAAATTTTTCTTTTTTTTTTGCTTTTTTAAACCATTTTTTCAAGTTAAAAATTTGGGTTTCATTTTTCCCATGTATTATTTTTTTTCCCCAAATTTTTCGGGAACAAATACCCGGAAAAAAAGAAATGTTTTGATTTTAAAGCACCATATTTTAAGGAAGTGTTATCTCAAAGGCATTTTTTTAAAGCGGGTTACGGGAAATCGTTGGACACGGGGTGTTTGTGACATCACCCGTGCTTGTTTTCCCTAAAAATATTTGTAAGAACCCCTAACGGGACACTTTTAAAAAAGAAAATTTTCTTAATTTGTGGGGAGAGAAAAGAGGCCAATCAAAAAAAAAATTATCCCCCAACCCAAAATTCTTTTTTAAACCCTTGTTAATTTTTCTTTTTGAAAAAAGGGGAAAATTTAGTTTGATAATATAAAAGGTCTTTGTTGTAGTACTGGATAAAAAAATTTGAAATTTTAAAACGAGAAATCGGGAAAAAAAAGTGCAGCCAGTCATTTTAATAGTTTTTCATTGACATTTCTCCCTCATAATGTATAATTTTTTCATGTTTTTTTAATTTAAAAAACTTTAAAAAAGTGAGCGGGTTTTTTTTTTCCAGAGGGTATTCAGATTTTTATTTTTTTTGGTTTATTCTGGTAATTGCGTTTTCCCACTGTTTTCAAAAAAATTTTTAAAAATTGTAAAAAATGAGGGGACTGTGGAAATGGGGTTTTTTTTATACATGTGTATTTTTTATGTTGAAGTATTTTAAAACAATTAAAAAATTCAAAAAAGGATTTATTTTTCCCCGGGGCCTTAAAAATTTTTTTTTCTGATTTCTTTTCATTTTCATAGAATTTAAAAAAAAAAAAAAGGAAAGAGGGGAAAATTAAATGTGAAAAAAAAAAAAAAAGGGGGAAATTTAAAACTCATTTAAATTTTAAAAAATTTAAAAGGGAATAATTGTGTTATTATTTCAAGGGGGATTACCCCAAAAATGGGTGGGGTTTAATATTTTTTGCTAAACATTGGGAAACATGGGAAATTTAAATTTGGGATTGGAATTTTCTTTTGCCACAAATTAGTGATCTTTAAAAAATTTGGAATTAAAAAAAAGTTTATTTTTTTTTTATTAAAAAATTTTTTGGCATGGGGAGGGGTAAAATCAGATTAAAGCCTTTTAAAAGAAGGGAAGTAACTGATATTTTATTTTGTTATTGCCCGTGAAGGATGGGGAATAACTGAGAAAATTTTGCCCTTCCAAAAAATTGTTTATTAAAATATGGAAATTTTCTTTTGGGGTTTATTTTCTTTATTATTGTAAATATTGGGGAGAAAAAACTGAGAAAAATACTTCCCAAAAAAATTTTTTTTTTAAAGGGAAAAAAACTCATTTCTTTTTTTACTAAAATTTAAGTTTGGCTAAAATTTTACAAAAAGGGCCCATAGAAGATTGTTTTTTGAAAAATTTTTCCCCTCTACAAGGGAAAAATTTGGTGGCCTGCAATTTCTGGGACTACAATTTCTTTAAAGGTCAGGGTTTTTTTTTAAATAGAAATTAATTTCCCCTTTTTAATCGGGAAAACTTTTAATTTAGTTTTTTAAAATTTTTTTGTGCAGGGAAAAAAAAAGAAATTACTTTTTTCTTATTCAAAAAATATTTCTTTTTGGCATTTATTTTAAACAAAACCTTTAGAAAGGTTTTCAATATTTTTTAAGAGTTTTAAAATTGTTGATTTTTTAATTTTCTTACACCCATTTCGTTTGGTTTAAAAAAAAAAAAAAAAACCAGACCCTTTTAAAAAAAAATGGAAAGATTTTAAAAATGTTTTTTGATTATTTTAAAAATTTTTGCACTTTCCCGAAAAAAGAATTTTTCCATGATTTTGTTTGTTTATTCTTTTCCCCTTGCTAAGAAATTGGGGCCCAAAACACCTTTTAAACTGTGCCATTTTTTTTAAAGCTTTAAAAAAAATTGCCATTTTGAATTTTCTTTTTACCTTATATTTTATGCTTTTGGTCTTTTTTTAAAAATTTTTTTTTAAAAGTGTTATGTTTGTAAAAATAATTTGCTGCCCCAGATGACCAAGGGCAATATTTATTTTATGTTTTGGGGGGATGTTTTTCATGGAAAATTTTAGATTTTTTGGGATGGCGCCAAAAATGGTTTGTGTTAAAAAGCGGAAAGGAAAAAACTTTTTGGTCCCCAAGGGCCCCTGTGATCATCTCACAGCTTTTTGCTATTCTAGAGGTATTGTGTAAATTTTTTGTATTTTTCCACAAAAAGTCCTAAAATAAAAATTTTAAAGCTTACTCTGTTTGTTAAATTTGGGAAAAAATATTTATGAATTTGAAAAAATTAAATTGGGAAAAAATTTTAAAAAAATAAAACTATTTTATATAAATAACCAAAATTAAAGAGGGCCCAAAAACCCCTAGGCTTACCCCATACCAAAAATTTCTTTTGAGGATGATCTGGAAAGTCAATTTTTGACCTTTTGTAGTGGTTCCTTTTACTTTAACCCCTTTTTGCCCAGAATTTTGGGCAAAATAAATTCTAACCCTCCGGGCTACTGCAGACCAAGATCAGGGTGGGGGTCTATGCGTTTTTGATTTTGGTTTTAAATGTTTGCTATTAGTGAAACAAACTTATTTTTTAAAATTTCCCTTAAAATGGTGGGGGTTTGGTTTAAAGGGCAAAATTTTTAAAACAGGTTTAAAGGGACCAGACTAGGGGATTTAAGCCCCATTAAAATTTTTAAAAAATTTTAAAAAAAAATCCCTCAGTTCCCAAATTTATATATCAAAAAATTTGAAAAAAAACAAGGGGTTTATAGGAAAAAAAAAAACTCCCTTTTAAAAACCTTTAAAAATCAAAAATTTCGGGGACAAGACTTGATGAATAAAAAACTTATATTAATTTTATATCAGACTTAATTTTAAAAAGGCAAAAGGGTTAAGGCATTGTTTTAAAAAACTTCCCTATTATTTTTAAAATTTAGACTTTATTTTTAAAAAGGGGGTTTTGGTTAAAAAGGCCCTTTTAAAAAAAAACTCAAAAATCATTTTATATTTAGAAAAATTTTTAAAAAGGGGATAAAAGGTTAATTTCATTGTAAATAAAAATCATTTTTATTTTTATATTTTAGAAATTTTTTAAAAGGGATTTGGTTTTAAAGGGATTTGTTTTAAAAAGAACCCCTTAAAAATTTATTTTTAAAATTTAGACTTATTTAAAAAAAATAGGTTAAAGGGGCATTTTTAAAAAAAAAACTCATAAATTAAATTTTATATCAGACTTATTAAAAGGCATAGGTTAAGGCATTGTAAATAAAACTCATTGAGAGTTTAAATAATTAAGTTGACAAGATTTTATAGATAAAACTCATTACATATTTATATCAGATTTATTAAAAGGGTTAATGCAATATAGATGAAACTTATTGAGAGGTGACATTGCTATTTGAGGGTAAACATTGCTATTTGAGAGGTAAACATTGTTATTTGAAAGGAAAACATTGTTATTTGAGAGGTTAAATATTGCTTTTTTGAGAAGTAAAACATTATTTGAGAGGGTAAATATTGCTATTTTGAGAAGTAAAACATTGTTATTTGAGAGGTAAACATTGTTGTTTTAGAGGTAAACATTGCTATTTTGAGAAGTAAAACATTGTTATTTGAGAGGTAAACAGTGTTATTTGAGAGGTAAACATTGTTATTGAGAGGTAAACATTGCTATTTGAGAGGTTAAACATTGCTATTTTGAGAAGTAAAACATTGTTATTTGAGAGGTAAACAGTGTTATTTGAGAGGTAAACATTGCTATTTTAGAGGTAAACATTGTTATTTGAGAGGTAAACATTGTTATTTGAGAGGTTTAAATATTGATAACTTTTGAGAAGTAAAACATTGTTATTTGAGAGGTAAAAAACATTGTTATTTTAGAGGTTTAAAACATTGTTACTTTGAGAGGGTTAAAACATTATTATTTGAGAGGTTTTAAACATTTGTTATTTGAGAGGATTTAAATATTGATAATTTTTCAGGATGAGAGTGAAGTAAGAGCTAACATTGTTTCAGATGATTGGAGATAGTAGGTTTGTATATAAGGCAGCTGTATATGTTTCTACTGTGTTTTGATGGCTGGTTCATCATTACATATTGTCTCATTGCTTCAAAGTAAGTCCAGTCCGATGTTAGAAATTAAAGAGCCGCGATCCATTGACCAAAACCAACATAATGTGAGTTTGCGACCAGCATAGGATCCAGACGCCGGAGCCCTGCGCTTTCTGCCGCAGTCCTGATCAGGATCCATGCTGTTCGTCCTTTACCAACTCTATTACAAGTAGAGAAACTGATAGCATACAGAATGGATCCTGATTAGACTGCACGGTTATGCGCAGGCTTTGGTCTGGATCCATGCCTGGTCGAGCATCGCAAACCCCCATCTATGTTGGTTTTGTGTGAACGCGGCCTTTCAAATTTAAAATTTTTATATTAATTTTTTCAATTTTGTATTTACGCCTCTTTTAACGGGTTTAAACCTGCTGAAATTTGTGGACACATTGGACTTGTCTGGGCCTTTTTTAATTTTGGAAAACTATCCATTATCAGTTCTGGGATTTATCCCAAGATAAAAAATACAAGTTGCATACAGACAGGCTTTCTTTAAATGGTTTGAAAAGGGCTAATCGTTTTTTGGTTACAACAGTATAAAGGATTTAAAATATTTATATGAATCGATTACTTGCAATCGATTATGTACATTTCTCTTGTGTTCAAGTTAGCTGCCTGGTTTGATTGTGTAAGAAATTCCCTTGTGAAAAAAAGACTACCCATCAGATTATTGTTATGCTTTTGTAGCCAAATTATAAATTCTGTTCCCAAATGCAGAAAATTGTAATTCTGATTATTATCATCAAACAAGATATTTTTAGTTTGTTTATAGATTCTGTTGAGAAATTTACCTTTTTCTCTTGTGAATACTGAAATGACCTGAGTAAATGACCTGTTGTTTTTTGTTTCCAGGTTTTTGAATATACCACGTAAGATGAAGCACTCTGTCATCAACATCTGTGTCAGTGTTCTGCTGCTGATTATTGGCTTCACTATGGGTATAAAACGTACGGATCATGAGAGGGCTTGTCAGATTGTCGGGATAGTGTTACATTATCTCTCTATGGTCGCCATATTCTGGTTTACAATTACAGCAAGGTAATTTACAACTATCATACTCATGGTAGAACTGGTTTTGCTTCAATTGGATTCTTTTTAAAAATATTTGTGAATCAATTTCCTTACATCTTTGACATGGTCTGTCACTTGTTTAGCAAACATGTAAAGCAAAATGGAACCTTAAACGTGTCTATCTGATAAATTGTGCATAATATGCACAAAAGATTTTGTTCAATTTGATATTTAAAGCACAATAATTTTAGTTAATAATTGTGATAATGGAAAACTTTATCAAACAGACATGTTCTGAAACAGTTTCTGTTTCAAATCGAACAGTTTCTGTTTCAAATCTGACAATAAAATAAAGGTGGCAGCATGGCCTTGTGATTAATCTATCTAGGGATCACTAGCCATGTGGGTTCAAGCCCCTGTCCAGGGCAAGCCATTGTTTCCTAGAGCAAGAAACTTTACACTCGTTGTTTAGTACTGGTTGGTTCCAGGAGCAGATTCGCCTGTGTCTATTAGCTTATAAGTTCCTATAAAATCAAAGTAATATAAATTCTCTATAAAGTAATACTATTTTATGCTATTATACATTACACATAATTATGTTCCCATGAATTTTTTGCTGAGAAAAACCCTGATCATTTTTATATGCAGCAACATGTTGAAGAAGTTTACAAAGGCGGAGAAGCCACCACCACCACCTGCTGACTTCCCGATGCCTTTACCACCCAAACCAATCATCAGGTTCTACCTGTTGGCCTGGGGTGTGCCTACAATTATCTGTGGTATAACTGCTGCAGTCAGCTTCGATTTCTACGATGAATACGATTAGTAAGTTAAACTGTAGTCAAGAAATTTATCTCTTTTAAAGCTAATTGTGATAATGACTTAAATTGTAGTGAAGAAATTCATTTTTCTTTTATTAGCTCGACTTTTTTTTTTGAAAAAAAAAATGAAAGGATTCTTACAAAAGGGGCGGAAAGGTTGCCGTTGCCGTTTTTCCCTTTCCCCCCCGAAAATTTTACCCGGTCATGCAACTTTTTTTTTCTTTTGTATTGTCTTTTATTACTTGGCCCCAACAACCCTTGGGGGGAAAACCTTTTCATAGACCCCACTAACCTTTCCCCTTTAAACCATAAATTTAAACCCCCGACCCTTTAAGGGTTAAAAATCCAATTTTTTTCTTGTTCAAAAGCTGTTATTTTTGGCTGTAGATTTTGTTATTTTTTAAAGGGTTGTCTTCAAACCTTTTAAAAAATTTAAAAATTTAAGGATATTTTTTAAAAAATAACCAGCCGACCTTTTACCCTTTATATAAATGACCTTTACTTTGAAGGGCAAATTTTTTGAAAATTTTTTATTTTTTGGCTTTTCTTTTGTAAGTTTTTTTTATTTTTGAATGGTTGTCCTGAAAACTTTAACAAAAATTTCAAAAATTAATTTTTTAAAGATTTTTACCGGGGAAAACCTTTACCTTCACACCCTTTAAAGACATTGTTTTTAAGGGGCAAATTTTTGAAAAATTTTCATTGTTTTTGGGGGTCATGCTGTAAATTTTATTATTTAAGGGTCAAATTCCCTATTTTTAGGGGAAAATTCTTAAAAAACCCAAACCCTTTTTGTTTTTCAACCCCAAATTGCTTGGGGTTTAAAAGAAACCCTTTACTTGAAGGTTTAAAATTACCCGAATTTTTTTCAGAAAAAGGGCAGTAAATGGCCATATTTTTAAAAATTATTGGTTGTGTGGTCTATTTTATAATATTTTCAACCAAAACAAAAACTAAAAATTTTGTATTGTTTTATTTATAGAAATTTCCCTCATTGTTTTTTATTTAGGAAATTGGGTCATTTTTTTTTTTGGGGGTTTTTTTTTATAGAAATGCGTCATTGGTTTCTATTTTTAGAGATTGCATCATTTTTTTTACTTTTTAGAAATTGCATCATAATTTCTTTTTTTAGAAATTGCATCATTTTTTCTATTTTTAGATATTGCGTCATAATTTCTATTTTTAGTAATTTTTAGAGATTGCATCATTTTTTCTATTTTTAGAAATTGTGTCATAATTTCTATTTTAGAAATTGCGTCATAATTTCTATTTTTAACCAGGTTTTCAATTTTGAAAATCCTGGTTATTAGATTGGGGTTATGGCGGGCGGCGATGGGCGGATGGGGATGGGCAGATGGGCGGATGGGCGGATGGGCGTGCAAACGAAATTGTGTCCCCTCTGTAACTCTTCAACCCTTTGAAGAATTTTGATGAAACTTCAGAACAAAATGTTTACCACATCAAGAATGACGTGCAGAACGGGATGGGCGGCTGGGTCCCAAGGGCAAAGGGCCAAATGACATTAAATTGAAAATCCTGTTTCCCTTTTAAATCTTCCCAAACCCTTTTAAGAATTTTTAATTTAAAAATTTGACAAAAGTTTCCACGATCAAAAATGACGGCGGAAGCTGTTTCCCCATGGGTTGGGTCCAAGGGCAAAGGGCACAGTGACAATTTAAAATTTAAAATCCTGTCCGCCCTGTAACTCTTTTAACCCCTTTTTAAGGGAAATTTTTATGAAATTCAGGGCAAATGTTTAACCCCATTTAAGATAAATGGGAGGAAAAGCAAATGTTTTGCATTTTTCTGGGGGGGCCCCAAAGGGAAGGTCACAGGGCCCTTGGGGGCCCATGGGGGGGGCGGGGCCGTCAAACGAAAATTGTGTCGCTCTGTTAACTCTTCAACCCCTTTGAAGAATTTTGATGAAAACTTCAGACAAATTTTACCACATCAAGATGACGTGCCAGAACGCATGCTTCCGCCATGGCTGGCTCCAAGGTTCAAGGTCACAGTGACATTAACAATTGAAAATCCTGTCCGCTCTGTAACTCTTCAACCCTTTGAAGAAAATTTTGATGAAACTTCAGACAAATGTTTACCACATCAAGATGACGTGCCAGGAACGATGTTCCGGCATGGCTGGGCTCCAATCAAGGTTCACAGTGACATTGGGCGGATGGGCGGGGCGGGCGTCAAACGAAATTGTGTCCGCTCTGTAAGCTCTTCAACCCTTTGAAGAATTGAGTGAAAACTTCAGACAAATGTTTACCACATCAAGAGATGATTTGACAGAAAGCCCATGGTTCCGCATGGCTGGAACTCCCAAGAGTCAAAAGGTCACAGTGATACCATTAACATTGAAAATCCGGTCGCCCGCTATCTGTAACTTTCCTTTTTCCAACCCTTTGAAGGAATTTTTGATGAAACTTTCAGACAAAAATGGAATGTTTAAAAAAAACAAAACCAATCAAGGATGAGTCGCCAGAAACGCATGTGTCCGCATGGCTGGCTCCAAGGTCAAGGTACAGTGACATTGGGCGGATTGCGGCGGCGGGCGTTCAAACGAAATTGTGTCCGCTCTGTAACGTCTTCAACCCTTTGAAGGGAATTTTTGAATGAAACTTCAGACAAATGTTTACCACATCAAGATTGACGCTGCAGAACGCATGTTTCCCCGCATGGCTGGCTCCAAGGTCCTCAAGGTCACAGTGACATTAACATTGAAAATCCTGTCCGCTCATGTAACTCTTCAACCCTTTGAAGAATTTTGATGAAACTTCAAGACAAAATGTTTACACCACATCAAGATGACGTGGCAGAACGCATGTTCCGCATGGCTGGCTCCAAAGGTCAAGGTCACAGTGACATTAACATTGAAAATCCTGTCCGCTCTGTAAAACTGCTTTTCAACCCTTTTTTAAGAAAAATTTTGATGAAACTTCAGACAAATGTTTTTACCCACATCAAAAGATGACCGTGCAGAATGCATGTTCCGCATGGCTGGCTCCCAAGGTCAAAGGTCACAGTGACAATTAAAATTGAAAACCGTGTTTTAACATGATTTTAACTTGAATTTTTGGCAAGTCAAATCATTATCATCTTTGGAGGTAATTTTTTTAAAAAGATATGATATATTATTTTCATGTCTCTTTGTAATTTTTTCATTATACAAATTTTCAATATAATTATAGTGAACAAATTCTTCTGTGCTTGAACTCGCTTCCTACATTTTCTTCAAACGGATTTTGTTTTCAAACTTTCACAGAAGCTTTGTCATTCAAGCACTGCCACATATTGTCGGGGTTTTGTGATTGGATAGGTTTTTTGACCTAAATTATGGCCCTTTGTTTTTTTCCTTATACATAATATTATAAGTGAACACTTCTTTCAGGGCAATTCCTCCTACATTTATTCATGTTTTACCATTGCACATAGTTACCATTGTTTTGTTGCTTGTTATTTGTATTTCAAAATACAACATATTTATCTACAATGGTGATAATTGAAAAACCTGGTTTCATGGCTATTGCCATGTTTTCTTGGGTTAGAAATTGCGTTCATTGGTGCTATTTTTAGATATTGCGATCATTTTTTCTATTTTTAGAAATTGCGTCATAATTTTATTTTTTAGTATTTTTTTTTAGAGATTGCATCATTTTTTCTATTTTTAAGAAATTGCCGTCCATTAATTTCTCATTTTAAGAAATTGCATCATTTGGTTGCTATTTTTAGAAACTGTGTCACTAATTTCTATTTTTTATAAATTGCGTCGTAATTTCTATTTTTAAGAAATTGCGTCATAATTTTTATTTTTAGTATTTTTAAGAGATTGCATCATTTTTTCTATTTTTAGAAAATTGCGTCATAATTTCTATTTTTAAATTGCATCATTGGTTGCTAATTTTTAGGAAACTGTGTTCATAATTTTCTATTTTTATAAATTGCGTCGTAAATTTTATTTTTAGAAATTTGCGTCAAATTGGTGCTATTTTTTAGATATTGCGTCATTTTTTCTATTTTTTAGAAAATTGGCGTCATAATTTCTATTTTTTGGTATTTTTAGAGATTGCATCATTTTTGGCTATTTTTAGAAATTGCGTCCATAATTTTTCTGTTTTTTAGAGTAATCATGCATCATTGGTGCTACATCATAAAATTTTTTTAAGAATTTGCCGTCATTGTTGCTATTTTTAGAAAATGCGTCATTGTTTCTAATTTTAGAGATTGTGTCCCTTTTTCTATATTTTTAGAAAAATTGCGTCATCAATTTCCTACTTTTTAGAAAAATTGGCGTCATTTTTTCTATTTTAAGAAATGTTGCGTTCATTTTTCTATTTTTAGAAATTCGCGTCATAATATTCTAAATTTTTAGAAATTGTGCGTTCATTGGTGCTATTTTTAGAAATTGCGTCATTTTTTCTATTTTTTAGAAATTGCGTTCATGATTTCTATTTTTAGAAATTGCGTCAAATTTTTTCTATTTTTAGAAATTGCGTCTATTGGTGCTATTTTTAGAAAATTGCCGTCATTTTTTAAGAAATTGCGTCATAATTTCTATTTTTAGAAATTGCCGTCTAATAATTTCTATATTTTTAGAAATTGGCGTCATTGGTGCGTATTTTTAGAAATTGCGTCATTTTTTCTACTTTTTAGAAATTGCGTCATAATTTCTATTTTTAGATATTGCTCCATAACTTCTATTTTTAGTATATCTAGAAATTGCGTCATTTTTTTCTTTTTTTAGAATTGCTTCATTTTTTCTATTTTTAGAAATTGCGTTCAATTTTTCTATTTTTTAGAAATTGCATATCATTGTTGCTATTTTTAGAAATTGCGATCACTTTTTATTTTTTAGAAATTATGTCATTTTTGTATTTTTGAAAATTGCGTCATTTTTCTATATTGAGAAAAATTGCGTCATGTGCTATTTTTAAGAAAAAAAGAAATTGGCGTACTGTTGCTATTTTTAGAAATTATGCTTAATGTTTCTTTCGATATATATACA